AGAGTATTGGTGAATGGGTTTTGATTGATGGTGTAAGGGTGTTGTCCCAATCCTATAAATGCCTTTTGTAAGCCTTTAAAGGTAAATTATACAACATGAATAACTCTTTCTTTTTTAAATTTATCTTCTCCACATTTTACAATTCAATGTACAGAAGATCACATTTTAAAATTCAATATACAAAAGACTTCCGACATGAAGTTTCAAGTTTCCTACTCCTTAAGATGCCAACACTCAAATTTAATCACCATGAAAGTGCTTTAAATAACATAGAGTGTGATGTACCAAAAAAAAAACATGGAGTGTGTGTTCATTCTAAAGATGTTTGGGCCACAATTAATAGGAAAAAGATGGGGGGAGGGGGGTGGGATTATTTAACATACCTTATCTTAAAATTTTATAGAAAAGTATTTTGTAATTTGAATTATTCACTTTTACAATACTAATAATTAAATTAAAAGATCTTAGTAACAAGTGAAGTCCTTTTATCTACTAATGGGGATGTTTACTTTAGTGCAATTTGTACGACTCAAAATATATTTATCTTTTTTTCATTTTCTCTATCAATAATTTATTTCAATTTTAATTTTTGTCTTATTTTAAAATATTATACTAATTATCTAAATAATTTTAATGGTAACTTTTTTTTACTAAAAATAAGTGAAAATATGATTGTTAGTCATGTAATTTGATAATAAAATTATCTATATTTTTAATTAAAGATATATAATGTTACCTCAAGTCTCTATATATTAAAAAAATTAAGTAAAAATAAGAGATATTAAATTTAAATTTGCATGTCACGAGCTTAGGGTGAATTAATGAATTATAGAGATAAATTGTGATTGTGAAAAAAAAAGGAAAATGGTTGATCCCTAAACATGCTGAACCATGTGAAGACGCAAGTAGAGCGCAATAGCCTTTTCTTAAATGTGTAGAATCAACTTCTTTCTGGTTGTATGTCTGGTAGTTGATACCAGCCAAGTGTCTGAAAAGGGGCGATGAATCCATAATAGGTTTGTCACCAACGAGGGGTTGGATCAAGTGGTAAGCGGCTTGTTTCAGCTTAAGTAAGGTCTCGAGTTCGAGACCTTGTGTACGCAGCAGCTCTCGCTGGGAGACTCACCCACCATTTCCAGGTGCGCGATGCAGGTCGGGTTTGGATTAGTCGGGGCGAAACCCCGGATACCGGGCGGGAAACCAAAAAAAATAATAGGTTTGTCTTTTAGTTCAAAATATGTACAAAGATTAGCATTTTTTACATGGGTTTCAGGGCTACAATCAGGAGGAAGTAGCAGCTTTCTTAAAATTTAAGGGGAACCGAGAATTTTGATGGAATTGTGGGGAGTCTTTGTTAAAAAATCAAGGATTCCCGATAAGAAGAAGATGAAATGAAAAACTGAATCTCTCATTAATTGAAAATAATCCAGCCTTTAAATAGGCTTTACAAGATAATGTTATCTAAAAAGATAACTAACCAATATTATCTAATCTAATTTAAATGATAACAACCTAAAACAAATAAATAAGTTAAACTTCCTAAATTATAGAGATAATGGCTAAATAATAGGATCTAATTTCCAACAATCCCTCCCTTAAACTGAAAGTCTTTAGACTTTAGTTTAAAGAAATTTGGATAATACCATATCTGCAGATCTGCAATCTAGAACCTGCAGACCTTCCCTCAAACTGAATTCTGCATGCTGCAAACACCAAGTAACTCTCTCAATTTTGAAAAAGCTACTACTTTGAGGGGTTTTGTGAATATATCAGCTACTTGATCTTCTGTTTTGCAATAAATCAACTCAATTGTTCCATCTTCTACCAAGTTGCGCAAGAAATGATACCTCACATGTATATGCTTGCTTCTCCCATGCAAAACTGGATTTCTAGAAAGCTTGATGGCCGAACTGTTATCACAATAAATTGAAGTGGCCTCATGTTGATTCAGCTCAAGTTCTTCCATAATTCTTCTCAACCAAATAGCTTGACAAGCACAAGAAGTTGTTGCCACATACTCTGCTTCTGTTGTGGACAAAGTCACAATGGGCTGCTTTTTTGAAGACCATGAAATCGCACCAGATCCCAACATAAAAACAAACCTAGAAGTGTTTTTTCTGTCATCCAGATCTCCAGCATAATCACTGTCTATAAAGCCTACGAGATCTATCTTGTCACCCTTCTTGTAGAATAGTCCAAAATCTGTAGTTCCACATAAATACCTGAGAATTCTTTTAGCAGTCTATAAGTGCAACTCCTTTGGATGCTCCATATATCTGCTAATCAGACTTACACCATGCATTATCTCTGGTCTTGTTGCTGTCAGATACATCAGACTTCCAACAATCTGCTTATACAGTTTGCTGTCCACAGATCTGCCTCCTGGATCTTTCACGAGCTTTACACCTTTATCAATTGGTGTAGTGACAGAATTACAGTTCTTCATTTGAAATCTATCTAGAACTTCCTGAACATATTTTTTCTGACAAACAAAAATTCCAGAATCTGACTGTACTACTTCCAGACCAAGAAAATAATGCAACAAACCCAGATCTGTCATTTCAAATTCAAGCTTTATGGATTGCTTGAACTTTTCCAACATGCCAAAATCATTCCCAGTATAAATTAAATCATCAACATATAAGCATACTTGTTTCCTCAAAAATCCTCAGCCGACCTTTACCACGTGAGTTTGGTTATTAGGCATGCCACTTGCTTTGTTTAAAAACAAAAAAATTGGATTTTCCAGACGACCCTTCTCCTTTCCAGCGGTCGACCTCCAATAGGATGGCTGGAAAGAACGTCTATGAAATGAATTGCGCCCCAGACGATGTTGCAAAACAGAGGGTAGAGTTCTGCAAAATGGGTTACTAATTGCCTTGGAAACCTCCAAGGACTTCACAACCAAACAAGTGTAATAAAAGTTACAAATCCTAAAATAAATGCAATATCCTAAGGCAATTAAACTAACATGAAGTAAATAACAAAATATAACATGCCATAAAGATTAAATTCGCAGACAACAAAAAAAGTAAAATGACAGACAATGATTTCAACTACGTAGCCCATAATGATTAAATTAATTACTGACAGAATTAAATTAAAAATAACTAAACTACTTGATAACTAAAACTGAAGAAGAAACTATGAAATAATTAAAGTTTGGAAACTTATAAAATTAAATTTGGAAATTAAAATTAAATAAACTACATGTCTGGATATTGTGTAGAGACAAAAGAACAAAAGTAGAAAACATTCAACCTATTTACATGAACGAATAACATAACTAAATCCATAAAAGGAAGAAGAACTAACCGAATCAAAAGGGCAAACCTATTTTGAAGGCTAAGTTGCTTCCAAATGCTTAAAAATTAATCTAAATTGGAATTTGCGGAAGAAAATATGAACAAAGATGAACAAACCTAGGCTAAGGCTATGGACTAATCTGGAAAATCTAGAAACTATTGGTGAAATATGGAAAATGCAGTTTGAAAGCTAAAAAACATGCTTTGGGCAGTGTATGTGTGTTGGGTAGGCCTCCTGAACTGTTCTCTTCTCTCTGTATTTATTTTCTTTGGTGCTGGGAACTTCCTCCATGATTTTCGGTACTGTTCCTCCATGATCTGGTAGTGGGATTGCATGTTTGGCCATTGTTTGACAGTTATCCGATAATTTTTATTTAACCTTATCTCCAACAACCTTAAAGATAACTGCCTAAAAATCCTCAATTTCCCA